CTCATTCGCCTTGCCGGCGAAGAGGCCCAAGATATGGCGTTACGTCGAAGACGTTGTGCGCACCTATTCGGATGGAGAGCTAGGTATGTCGTTTGCTAGAAGACAATACGACAAATTCCCCTCAGATGGAACTCGCCTTCGGAGATGACGGTCGCTTTACGGCATACTTGTTTGGTATTGCTTAATAGACCCTTTGCAAAACGTACAGCGCCACGACGGCAGGAAATTTTGGGAACCCTCGGTACAGATCACGCGCACGCGCTTTCTCGTTGCGCCTCCGCGACTGCGCGCGCGTCCCGGCAGCTACCGCCAGCAGCCGTTGCAGCCATCCCGCCGAGTCGTACGTCGTTGCCGGCGTACCGTATCTGTGGCAACGTAAAGGGATCGCGAAAGGTGAACTCATTCCAATACGTTATTCGTCGGAACTTACCTTCACGTATTGAAGTGCCACCAAATCCATTTAGTTTGCACCGCAACCATGGCAGGTTTCGACCAGGTTCGACAAAGCGTTGGTGCAGCAGACGACAAAACCGGTACAAAGGAGAGAGATACGAAAGGGGCAGCCGTCGGATCGTCACTCGCCCAACCAACGGCCCAACTCAGCTGCTTTGTTGCCGTGCCTGCTCGCGTATGCCCCGTGGTAGCCGGAGGAGGGCGTACCGAGGACTCCAATTATTTGAAGCGCGGCGCGCGCGGGCTTTTGGGATTTTTGCAAAGGGTCTATTGCATCCTGCGGCTCGTACAAAAATACTTGTAGTTGTCTTCATCGGGTTTATATAACTGTAAGGTAAAATAAATACTGCCTCAACGTCGGGGTCACCGTTAATAAAGTAGTAACAATCAACATTTTTTGTCAAAGCATGAAGTTCCGATCAGAACTTCATGCTTTCAGCAAGATAGCAATGGGAACCGAAACTGTTAAAAAGCGAGGGCAGACGCTATGAAAGCGGTGGCAGCGCGTGCAACTGGGTGGATCGCTTACTGAGGCCGACCGCTCACCGACCGCTTGCGCGGAGCGCTCGGCATCTGCCTGGGCGAAGGGCTGGATCGCGCATCCCCGCTTGGTCGCTGCAGCTGCAGCGAGAGAGTGAAGCCACCGATCGGCGATTTTGCATGTTGAAAAATCGCGTTTTTGGAGCGTTGCGGAGGCTGGCGGCAACATGCTGAAGACACGTTTTCTACTCGTTCGTAGTCATTCTTCGAAGAAGCTCTTTAAAACCCTGTGTAAGCCCTGAGACTTGTCGTTGAGAACATGTGGAAATTTTTACGGAAGCGCAGTGCCGCAGTAAAAATGCCCAACTCGTCGAAAGCAAGTTTCGCCGCCACGATGCAACGCGCGGGTCACGAGTGACCCGCGCGTTTCATCATTGGACTTTTTTCATAATGCAACGTGCGGGACCCTTGTGACGTCACACGTGACGTCAATTGTGACGTCATTATAGGAAACGTCCCATAATGCAATGCGGGGGTCACGAATGCGACTGCACATTGCATTATAGGACGTTTCCCGTGACTCAACGCGTAGTTACGCCGACGGCGACGTTGGCGTCGCCGGCCCGCGCGTTGCATTATGAGACGCTTCCCATAATGCAATGCGCGGGTCACAAATGAGACGGCGCGTTGCATTATGGGACGTTTCCCATAACGCAATGCGCGGTTACGCCGACGGCGATGTTGGCGTCGCCGTCGCCGACCGCGCGTTGCATCATGGGACGCTTCCCATAATGCAACGCGCGGGACCCTCGTGACGTCACACACGCCGTCATTATGGGAAACGTCCCATAATGCAATGCGCGGGTCACGAGTGACACCCGCGCGTTGCATTATGGGACGTTTCCCATAATGCAACGCGCGGTTACGCCGACGGCGACTGCGACGGCGATGCCGCTCAAGCCGGAAACGGGCGCCTAAGAGCTGCTCTCTAAAAAATTAATTGATGTAAACCAAATTAAATTTTCATTCCACAGCCATGTTTGATCCCGTCTTTTTTAACAAAACTGAAATAAGCCTTTGTTAACTGGTTTAAGGATGACGCGGCGTTAATACTAGGCCAAGGATAATATTAGGTGTCACCTTTTAGCATATTGAAGACATGCCCAACCTAACGGTCATTTGTAACCATCATATAGTTTCCATATCAGCGAAAAAGCCATGTCGGTTACATATCAAAACTTGCACGGCTCGAATGGCCTGTGAAAGCAGCGAAAAAACGATGTCGGTCAGTCACCGAAAACTCAGTGGCTGAACTGGCCGGTGATAACAGAAAGAAAACAATGTCGGCCAGTCAGCGGAGACTCCACGGCTAGACTGGCCGCTGACTACAGCAAGAAAACGATGTCGGCCAGTCACCGGAAACTTCATGGCTAGACTGGCCAGTGACTACAGCAAGAAAACGATATCGGCCAGTCACCGGAAACTCCATGGCCAGACTGGCCGGTGAATACAGCAAGAAAACGATGTCGGCCAGTCACCGGAAACTCCATGGCTAGACTGGCCAGTGACTACAGCAAGAAAACGATGTCGGCCGGTATCGGGAACTTTCCGGCTGGTGCTGGCCAGTTTAGACAACGAGTCCCCGATATCGGCCGGGGTCGGTTTCTCACCGGCGTCCCTGGCCGGGATCCGCCGTACAGCTCCCAGTACTGGCCGACGTAATCCCAGTATCGGCCGACATGGTGTGCTACCTGGGTTGTTCACCTCCCCTCCGTTGTGATGGGTACGCTATGTTTTTAGTTGTGTCATCAGTGAGTATAGGGACTTTAGAAACTATAAATTAGATGGCCTTTACTGCAAATGTCCTTAACAATATCTAAAAAGCCCTCACAATTACTAACTTTCTCATAGGTAGAACTTAATTGTCATCCCAAAATCATGCAGAGGAAAAAAGGTACAAAATAAGTACTTACTTGAATATGATGTAACAGTGCATGGGAACATCTCCCACCCTTTTCCGATGATGCCTGGTGGCAACTCCCGTTCTACCATGGAGGTCACCCTCGACCCCTTCGTATGAAGTGGCCAGGCAGACCTGTCTCTCTGTGCTGAAAGCCAGCTCAACGGCACGATTGCCAGGCAGTTTTTTTCATCCGGAAACCTGATGACGGCGAATGGCTTGTCCATCCTACCCCGAGGAAGAAGCAGCAGGAGAAGATGTTTATTATTTTTACCTGCGTGTCCTTGAAACCAGCGTCACACATATCGAATTGAAAACTATGAGGTCGTACCCAATCAATTAGTGTCTCAGAGTCCTTGACTCTGGGTCGCCGGCCCGACCCTCTGCTTAGAGAGCGGCTTTTACTTCCTCTTCTTTCAATGCCAAAGGAAATAGAACAACCAAGGAATCGCCGTGCACGCGCTATTCCGCAGCAGCGAGCACAGCACAAGGGGCGTGAGAGCGCTAACAGAGCGCTTTTGTAGCGCTAACAGAGCGCTAACAAAGCGCTTCTGAAGCACTAACAGAGCGCTACATCACGCGCCAGGAAGCGCCACATGAGCGCTCCTTGGAGCGCTCACTTAGCGCTAACTTAGCGCTCCGCTGTATGTGTGAACCGGTCTTTATTCCGCTTACTAAGACGCATGGGGAAACAGCTTATAGCAATAAAGAGGTGAGAAAGAAAAACAGGAACCCCAGACGTACTCACGCAACCTAGAAGTTTAGCAGAATCGAATAAGCGGCGTCCGAAGAATACTAACGAGGTGCTGTACTAACTGTTGTGATGTCATGAGGCTTTCTGATCTTAGAAGAAGAGGACATCCAGTGAGCACGCTCGCAGGAGGTGGCACGCGCTGTTGCGTTTGGAACTGACGAGCATTCGCCATAGCTGCCGCTTTGATCCCGTATGTATTTATTAAACAGTTTGCTTAAACCGTCCTCCTCAGCTTAACTAGCAACATAACATGGTGTCAGAAGTGGTGAGCAGCTCAACGTCCATATTTTAAATTTAACAAGCAACAGCGACAACAATATGGCATCTGCTTTCCTACAACCGCCGGCTCCGTTCCATCCTGGTGACGACCCAGCAAGAGCATGGGAGGAGTGGAAGTCATCGTACCTTATCTTCGAGGCAGCCTGTGAATATGAATCGAAGCCTATCGCAACTCGGAAAGCTTTTCTGCTCCACTGCCTTGGACCTCAGGCAAGACGAATTACGCAAACCTTTTCTCTACAACCAATAGGAGATGGTCAAAGTGGGCAAAGAGAGAATGCAGTAGATTACATACTGCACGAATTCGATAAACTGTATGCACCTTACAAAAGCGTGACACAAGCAACAGCCATTTTTAACACAATGTGCCAAAAGCCAGAACAAACCATTGACGCATTTGTAACTGAGCTAAAACTGCAGGCTCAGAAATGCGACTACGGAGCTCAAGAAAACAGGCTCATCTGTGATCGTATCATCATTGGGATACGAGAGGTGGCTTTGCGCGAACGGTTGCTTCGTGAACCGAGTCTTACCCTAGACAAAATCATTTCAACCTGTAAAGCAGCTGAAATCTAAAAAAAACACGTGAATGATATTCAGAAAACTGAAGATGGACTCTATCGTCAGCCATCTAGCTTCAGAGCAGCGCAACGAAGTTACCGACCATCCGGACCACAAAAAGACCAATCCAGCAACCGACAGCAAATTTCATGTTCGAGATGTGGTACTTACCATCAACCCCGAAACTGCCCAGCTTACGGAAAGCACTGCCTTTCGTGTGGAAATTATGGACATTTTTTCCGAATGTGCAACCAGACACAGCAGAAAGCCCTCGGATATCGACGTGTTTCTGCAATAAAAGAAAATTCCAACTCATCCATGAACAATGACCGCAATGAAACGATCCATTTGGGAGGCATAACAATTCGGCCTCTTCCATCAACCAAAGCAACCAAGTTTGCGCAAACTGGGACAGAGCTGGAGAGGCGGTCAAAGAAAAAAAAAGGCATGCTGGCATCTCGCCCCGAAGAGGGACAAAGCGTGATTTCAGAGTTGGTGTTGGCAACGGCAGAAATGCAGCGAATGTCTTTGGAGCACGACAGAAATATCGAAGCGAGCTTTGGCCATGAGCAGGCCCTTCAACGCGAGTGCAAGGCAGCTTCGGCTCTCCTGGGGAAGATGCAAGCGCAGCAAGCAGAATTTTCTCATGCCAAGTATCAGGAGTCTGAAGCATTGAAAGCCCAGTTAGTTTCTCTAAGTGAGGATTTGTCAAAGCAGCTGGAGCTTGTAGATGCCAAGGTGGAGGAAGCGAACACCCTGAAGGAGAAGTTTGAAGCATCTCAGCTTGAGCTCGAAAGGTTTTCTGCCGAGTACTGCATCTTGCAGGATGTCCTTCTTCAAGACTGCGGCGAGGACTTGCCGCTAGTTCAGAATGATTCCGAACAACGAGACCCAGGCGAAAATTTTCAACTGGGACCAGTTGGTCCCAGTTGCAACTGGTTTATGGAACAATTCCCAGTTGCAACTGGTCCCAGTTGGAGTCGTCCAACTGGGACCAGTTGGAGTTGGTACCAACTTTAGCAACAATGAAACACGGCACAAAATGGAAGGTTGACAAGACTTTATTGTCAAAAACTTGGAGAATGAAACTAAATAGGTTCGGTGACGTACACGCTCCGGGTTTAGCCACTTGCTTGCGACTGTTGAATCGCTTTTTCAGAGAAGATGAAGAAAGATCGGCCGCTGGCGTCTGTTAGTGAAGACGTCCTCAGCTTCTCTTCCCATCGAGTGAAGAATGGTGCTCACCCGTGATCCTGCGTTGCGCAGGTGAAGTCCTGATAAGATGCAGTAGCGCGGTAGCGCTCCCACCTTGCAATCTCTGTCACAACAGTCGAACATTTTCGAGGTAGACCTCCCGCCATTTTCGCCATTGTGCTCTCCGCGGCGTGTTCTCTTCCGTCCGGTCTTTCCTGGGTGCCCTCCGATCGCTGAACTGCATCGTTCCATCCTCGAAGTTCACCGCCGCCACCATGGTGTGTGTACAGTTAGGTCCGAAGAAGCGCAGCTGTAGTTTTGACATTTTCATGTTTTCATAACGACGCCAACTTGGGCGATGGCGACCCTTCCCTGCCTTCCCTACCGCGTCCGTCCGACTCCGGCGTCAGCATAGGCAGCGCCATCTGTCGACAGCGCGTACCACTAATCCGCACCCGCATGCCACGGCGACCGGCTAGCTCTGATTAGTCAAAAGATAAATTTATTTATTAAAAGAAAAAAAAAATACTGTAGGTATTTAAATAAATGTTTTAATATATTTTAATAATGCACTAAATGTTCATTTAGGTGAACAATTAAAAAGTTATTTAGTTAATTAAAATTTTTATATTATTTTTATAAATATATAAATGTACCCCAGTAATTAAAAATTACCTATTTGTATAAATCTAAAAATGTTAGTGTTTTTAGTTTTCTTCATTAGCAAAAGTCAATACACCCTCAACTTGTCCAAATTGTTGCCCAGTGTTAACTGGGTACGGGAAAGGCATTTGAAGTCCGACTGGGAATCGCTCCAACCAGTTACTTTCCTAACTGGTCCCCGTGCACCCCATTCCCAACTGGGAGTCAAACCAGTTGACTCCCAACTGGAAATGGTTCAAACCAGTTGACTCCCAACTGGGAATGGTTCAAACCAGTTGACCCCTCAGCTGGCCCCAGTTGGACTCCTATTGGTCCCAGTTGATTCCCAGTTGGGACCAGTTAGTCCCAGTTGCTTCCCAGTTGGGACCAGTTAGTCCCAATTGAAACCAGTTGAGGTGCCAACTGGTCCCAGTTAGAAATTTTCGCCTGGGGAGTTCAGTGCCTTTCAGTACCTCAAGAAGCTGCTAGACATCGCAAAACGCAAGAGAGAGGCCCTGGAAAACCAGCTTGCTAAAAAAGAGGAGCAGTTCAATCTACTCCAGCAAAACTATCAGTACTTAAAGGACCGGTACCAGTGGCCGTTACAAGATCTCGGTGCATTCGTCCGGAGCATCATCGAAGCATTTGTCCGGAGCATCATCGAGCACACCAACCAGTCGTCAGAAGCTGCAGTGTCTCTTGAAGCAAGTCAGCTGGAAGATTTGAACCGTATGCTGGCAGTGCTTCCTTGACAGTTAGGAACGAGCTCCTCGCTCAAGAAAGTCAGCAGTGGAAATCATTTTGTGAAGATGCGAGTGAAAAAATTAGATGCCTGTCTAATGAAAGTCACCTCCGGCAGCAGAGACACGAAAAGGTGGCGGAGACTTTGAGAGAGAGAGAGAATGCTGTTAAGTGTAACAATTCGTCGCAAGCGGAAGCAGACGTAAGCTCCTTTACCGAGAAGGCAGAAACAGAGTGCGAGGGGTTAGACGAGAAAGTCAGCAGCCTCCTAAAACGCAACGGAAAGCTAGAAAGCGAAGCCGACATTTTGTGGTCAGAACTTTCCTGCCTGGAGGAGCAAGCTGAGATGCTCATCAGCGACAACAAACATTTTCAACAGCTAGCTGAGAACTTAAAACAGGCACGACAATGCCTCGAGGAGGAGTTGAAGACTCAGCGCGAGCAGCACGTCAAGGCCACCAAGGAGATGGAGAAAGAGCACTGCACTGCGCTGGACGAAGCGGCCAAGTGTGAGGCAGCACTATCAGCACTGAAGACAGACCACTCCCAGCTGTTGGACAAGTATAACCACATTTTATACAGACACAGGAACCTGCAGGAAGAGTTTCACGCGGCAGCCCAAGTGAAACGCAGTTGGGAGGACAGGTGCGCTCAGCTCACAAAAACAGTGGGCAACAGCCAGACGAGATATCGCAGTCTTCGCGGAGCAGCAGGGCGCCGTGGGACAAAAGACCATGCAGGAGCTGCAAGAGCTGTGGCAAGCAAATCAGCAGTTGCAAGAACGCTTTCACCTGCTCAAAGACAAGCATCTCAAGGCTGAAGAACGGTTGGTACAGGCGCCAAACCAAAAAGTGGAGGCCTCGATGGAACATGTCACCGAGGGCACTGGGGGTACAGCGAGAACTTTGGAGGCACCAGCAAGCCGAGTCGAAATACAGGAACTCTCCCGGCGGTGCGAGTCCCTTTTGAAACAGTCTCGTGCCGAGGAGAACAAGTGAAACCAGGACAAGCAGCAGCAGAAACACATCGAGGACTTACAGGCGCAACCGGTACCACACCAAAGAAGCACATGGAACAGCAGAAACGAATACAGCTGCTGAAAACTATTTCCCTACAGCTTCAAACGAAGCTGCTGAAGACAATGTCCTTACAGTTTCAAATGGCGAATCACTTGAACACATTTCCACGTCTACAAGGTCAACAGGATAACCAAAAAAACAAGAAGTCGACGCGTTGTGGTGAAGCCGCTATGATACAGAGACTGACAAGTGCCGCGATCGCACTGCGTTATCTTCAAAAAAAGAAAAGAGAAAAGAAGAAGGGGGGGCATGTTATGATGTCATGAGGCTTTCTGATCTTAGAAGAAGAGGACATCCAGTGAGCACGCTCGCAGGAGGTGGCACGCGCTGTTGCGTTTGGAACTGACGAGCATTCGCCATAGCTGCCGCTTTGATCCCGTATGTATTTATTAAACAGTTTGCTTAAACCGTCCTCCTCAGCTTAACTAGCAACATAACACTAACAAAGACCCATCCGGAACTCCAAATCTCGCACCACAGCGCATCATGGGAAGGGACTAGGTCGACCAGCGCGCCGCCTTTGGACATATCACAAGGCATGCGTAGTAAAATATAACTGCTAATAAGCGAAAATAATTTCGCCACAAAAATATCTAAGAGAGTGCGAGGATGTATACATTTATGCATACTTGAAGCTCGATAAAAGTGCAAAATACTTTAGCACCTTCAAGTGGCGAATAGCGACTCGCCGAGCGCGTCCAGCGGTCTGGAGTAGTTCTCTACGCAGCCTTTTTCGGGAGAGTACGATCTGTGGTCAGTCGCAACATTTCAATTTCGTTATCAACGTTCCCATGGGGGAGTGAAGGGGTTTCGCGGCTTCTTTGTTTCGATTGCTGGGTGGGCTCTCGCTGTGCTGCTTTCGTTCCTCTCGTCATGACCGACTCGCCCGAGAATACTGCGGCGATGACATCGTTGCAGTTAATTTCAGGATGTCTAATGAAACGCAGCAACATCGACGAAGATACCAGCTTAGCTCCTGCTCGAGTGACGACGAGGCAGCCGTTCTCGGCGGAGTGTTTGCCGAGTCGTTCGCCTTGCCAACGAAGAGGCCCAAGATATCGCGTTGCGTCGAAGACGTTGTTGCGCGCCTATTCAGATGAAGAGCTAGGTATGTCGTTTGTTCGTTGTGTGGTCTCTGTAATGTAACTGGAATAATTATAAGACAATACCCAAATACTCCGCAGATGGAAGTTGCCTTCGGAGATGACGATCGCTTTACGGCATACGTCAAATTTGGGTTTTTTTTACGTGCCAAACCAACGACGGGCATCTGGCACGCCCCAGCGGAGGACTGAGGATTAATTTCGACCACCTGGGGATCTTTTGACGTGCAACCGAAAGCTCGGTTACACGGTGCCTTCTCCGCAATAAGCCTCCGTCAGATTGCGGCAGATTCGAACCCGCCACATGGGGATCCGTAGGCCGGCGCTCACGCATCGGAGCCACCGAAGCGGCTATGGCATACGTGTCTGGTATTGCTCAATAGACCTACTGCTAAATTACCAATGCATCAAGGAGAATGCAGGGATTGGTGTTCACGCGCCGCACGTGCTGGCCTCAGCAGTAGTAGCTTTTCTAAAGCAAATGCCTAAAACAAATTGCATCTTGCACGCGCGTTCGTCGACGCTTTCTTGGTTATTTACTTCGAATCTGTATTACGGGGAAGGCCATGTGGGGCGTGGAACACCAATCTCTCCATTCACCTTGCTGCTTGGGTAATTTAGCATTAGGTGTATTGCATCCTACGGCTCGTACAAGTACTTTTAGTTGTCTTCATAGTGTCAGCGTTAATCAAATAGTAAACAATCAAAATTTTCTATAAAAGCATGAAGTTCGATCGGACTTATGCTTTAAGTAAGACAGCAGACTGTCTGAAAGAGGTGGCGCTGGGAGTGTTACGCTCGATTAGCTCCGCATCGCGTGGCTGTGTTCCAAATCTTACCCAAATGAACCCGAGTTACTCCGGCGGGTCGTGTCACGTGACAACACAGATTGAAGAACACTGGACGCGGGTAGGTTTCGGAACGCCAAGGTAGAAAACTCTTATCCTGGACCACCGTGTCCTGGAGTAAGATCGAGTAAATTTTGGAACACGGCCCGTGTCAACAATGCGTGTCATGGGGTGGATCACGTGACCGATCGCTCACGGAGGCCAAGCCGCTAGCGCGGAGCGCTCGGCATCTTGGGTAAAACCAGCTGAACAAAGGAAGGAAAGTGACAAGGAGAAAAGATTGGCGAACCGCCAGGTGAAGCCTGCCATCTGGCAGGCTTCACTCGGCATCTGCCAGGTGAAGGGTACATTTATGTAGCCGATGGAGCAACCCTGGATGCGGGTAGATTTTTGTAGGTTTTAGAACGCCTGGGGCAAGAAACCTTTACTCAGAAATAGGATCGAATAAGTTTTCGAACACGGCGTGTATAACCGGCGGCTTGGCCAGGCTCGGCTCACCGTTGGCTCGGCTGTAGCTCGGCCAGGCTCGGCTGGCTCAGCCAGGTCGGCTTTGTGGCTTTGTTGTTCGCCGTTGCTCACTGCTCGGAAATGCGAGCAGCTTCCTGGGTTCAGGTGAATTGTTCGCTTCATTTCTTTATGATGAGCTCCAAATGGACAAAGTGCCAGGTCGTGAGGCAGGAGTATGACGAGGTCCTTGCGGAACTGGGCATCTCGCCACAGACCACGGTGCCTCCGCCTCCAGTTGTAGCACCGAAGTCCCCGAGCAACAAGAGACCAAGAAGCGAAGCCTTCACAGACGACGTTTGCGCTGGTGGCAGCAGACAGGGGAGTTTTCCTGTCAGTGTCGATCGCGACGAAGACCCGCAGCCTACTCCGGGTGACGGCAAGAACACTTGCAGTTCAGTCGATGACGGCGACCTGCACATCTCGAACGATTACCCTCTGACTTCCGACACCTCTAGTGAATCTAGTGGAGAATCGGAGCAGTACGAGGAAGGACCCAGTTTCGTTGAAGCTTCGTCTGATGCGCCTCCGGTACACGAACTCTCAGCAAGCGAAGAGCTCGCTGTCATCGCCCTCAAGCACAACCTGACGCACGGAAGCATTAACGATGTTCTGGGATTCTGTCGGCGACGAGGCCTCGCTGACCTTCCGAAGGACGCGAGGACAGTGATGCGGACCGAGCGGAATGCTCATCTCGACCGCAGTCGTTCGTTTGTGCATTTTGGCCTTCCGGAGGGCATCCGGCAGGTCTTGAAGCCCGGACCTGTTCCTAGTGAGCTGAAGCTGCAACTCAACATTTATGGCCTTCCGTTGTACAGGAGCAGCCAGGTTGATTTATGGCCGACACTGTGCCGAGTGACGAACGTCAAGTCATCGCCGCCGTTCATGGTTAGCGTGTACTGAGGTGCTAGAAAGCCACCTAGCCTGCAAGATTATCTGGACCCATTCCTGGAGGAAATTGCCAAGCTCACCTGCAATGGTATGGTATTCAGGGGTGTTCACTTAGATGTGAGCCTCACAGCGGTGGTCTGTGATGCTCCTGCAAGGAGCTACGTGAAAGCTATAATAGGACACACCGGCTACCATGCCTGTGAACGTTGCAGCCAAAAAGGCCGACGCACCAACGGCAGACAGATATTCCCAGATCTGCATGCACCACAACGTACGGATGCCTCATTTCGGTCCCAGGAGGATCAGCACCATCATAATGGTGTGTCCCCATTCATCTCGCTCGACGTCGACATGGTGACCTTTATTCCTACCGAATACATGTATCTTGTATGCCTCGGAGTTATGCGGCGACTGCTACGAAATTGGGTTTAGCCAGTGCGGTACAACCGAAAACCTGGGGTCTTTAACGTGCGCCACGCAGTAGCGATGCACGACAGCACGCCGGTACGATGCTCTTCCAGATCGAAACGGGCAGGGGCGGGGTGGGTTCTGCAGCGCGAGCTTTCGCTCCCAGTGCTCCAAGCTGGTGTGCGCTAGACCATGCACTCGGCCACCAACTCCCCCCCCCCCCCCCCCCTGTGCGTCTAATTTATATACAGGTATAAGTATTTGAAGATCGACAATAAACGTCGATCGTCTTGAGGTAATGTAACGCAATAACATTATATAAATTATAAACTTGTTGAAGGACTGAACGACTTAATTTTTCAATTCTTGGATTGTAATGTGGCGGTAGCCTATTGTACTTACTGTTGATGAAGAGCAATATGAGGTGACGAGGTAATGATTAAATGATGAGGCTCTATAAGGACGACGACATTAGTGGGTGTTAAACCACAACGTACAGTGCCAGACTTGTTTCAAGTTTCGTGTACCCAAAGGCTTTCTTCACCCGCAACAGTAAATGGTAGAATCAATAAGGATGTTGCTTTACAACTGTACGTGGAACAGGAAAACTGCACTGTGCAGAAGTGCGGTTTATTCGTTAATATGAGGGACGGATTTCTAGCAGCATTCCCTGATTGACTACTTGGAACAAATGGCCTCGTTGGCGTAAAGTGTCCCCGTTTCAAAAGATTCTTGAAGCATACTTAAACCGCAAAGGAGTGTGAGGCGAAAAATAAGAAAAAGGAGTCTGGTGTGAAAGGTCCAGATTACCACCATAGCTTCTACTATCAAATACAAGGGCAGTTACACAATACACAAAGAAAGTTTTGTGATTTAGTTATATTTACACTTAAGGGCATTGATATCCAACCTATTCAGAGAGATGACACCTCCTGGTCAACCAACATAGAGCCTTTTCTACTCAAGTTTTACATGGAAGGCCAGACTTCCGCTGAAATTCCTCACGTAGACGAGTTGTCCGACCGAATAAACTGCCATTACTCCCGATGTGGGTATCTCTCGATCTTTGTTCGTAAGCCATAGTATCATGAGATCGAGGGGTGTGGCTATTCTTCCGCCGAATATTGCTTCGGCGGGTTTTTTTCGGTGTAAGATGAGACCGTCG